GAAAAAAAGTGCATCAAAAGTCGTATTATTTGTCTGTTTTTCATACAAAACCATCAATAATAAAACAATGTTTTGTCCAAAGAAAAGAACGAAACATTATTTCGGAAACACCGGAAAATATTCCACAACACTCCAATGTACCAATAAAAATCTGGGACAAAAACTAACTTTAATATTAGATTATAAGTAATTGACTGTTTGCCTGTATTTACAAAAACGTTACGAAAAGCACTAAAGGAGCAATTGTTTTGAGTCATAACTTATGACTGCATAAAAACGTCTTCGCGCGAAAAATTAATTGAAAATTACAGAATTCGCGCGGTATAACCGACCCAATTTTTTATTTTTTCGATATTTTTTTTCATATTCGTTTCATTAAAAAGCTACATATTGCATTGGTGGGGGCCCCTAAATGGTGGGGGCCCTGGGGCCGTGGCCCCGCTGGCCCCGTCCTAAATCCGGCCCTGGTACCGAGCATATATTTTGTAGCCTACACTACATAGTTATAAAGTGCTTTTTATTTTTAATTCACTTTTTTTTCAAGTGCACCGATAAAAAGACAGTTTGCTTTAACTACAAAATGTGGTTTTATAATTTAAATAAATGGCTTATTTGACCACTACAGTATTAGTTAAATTTAGTTTTATAGTATTGGTTTTAAAAACCAGTGCTCTTGTTAAATGTCACCTGTTTCTTTTGGTAGAAGTTAGTAAGATAAACTGTTCTACGTACTTTAATTTGTAATTTGTAGGGGTTTATTTAAATGATTAAGGAGTTAAATTTAAACAAAACAATAAAAATTTAAAATTTAATTTAACACGTAATAATAACTAATGCTAAAAACTATCAAACATTTTGTGGCAGATGGTGGATTTTGGGATTGATATATCGATATATCAATATCTCATTTATTAAACATGGACTCGCACCAAATTTATAAGAGTTCTTAATGATATTAAATAAAAAAGTTCTTCGAAAGCAGAATTAAAATTGAAGTTTGCAAAAAAAGTTACTTTTTCAGCCAGAACTACCAGCCCCCTGCCCCCCTAATTAATATAATTTAAATTAAAATGGTTTAATTTATAATTTACAGCAGTTTATCGACAAATTAACAGTACCGATTAACAGTATTTCAGATTTTATATATTTTTTATTTTTTTTGGTAATGAATTCATTTAAAATTTTTATTATTAAAATATTAAAAAAATAAAATGATGTAAAATCTGTAATACTTGGATTTAAAAAAAAATTGTTGAACGTTAAATTAAAATTTGATTTATCTTAATAAGGGAGGGCAGGGGGCTGGGAGTTCTGGCTGAAAACCCTACTTTTTTCGCAAATTTCAAGTCAAATTCTGCTTTCGAAGAACTTTTTTATATAATGTCATTAAAAACTCTTATAAATTTCGTGAGGGTCCCAAAACCCACTAGCCACCACAAAATGCTATAAAAAATACATTTTTTTTAATAAAAAATTAAAAACATAACAAAGCAAAAATAACTTAGGATACATGCATGCTAACAAAATCTTTTTTTTTAAATACAGCCTGTTTTAAATGGATTTAATGTATATGCAAAAACTGTCATTGCTTCTAAAAACTTAAAACCTAAATTAAGATATTTCCAAATAAATATAATTGCATCCTCAAATAGCACAATATAAATACAGGAATTAACTGTAAATTCCATTTTTCCAGTTAGTTTTCCAGTAGATACACGTCCAGTGGACCCGGAACCAGGGACCCGGACCGAAACCGAAAAAAGAGCGAAAACCGGAACCGAACCCGTTTTTTCTCGCTTTTGATAAAATCTGTTGAACCGGAACCGAAACATTAGCTGGCCATACACAGACGTTATTTCGCGCGGTTTATCGTGGCGTGTTGGGATGTAGCGGTTAGTATGCACGAAAGAACGGCATGGCAAAAAAAGCGTCATGTTCCATACACTTGATAAAGTATTCAAATGATTTAGCAAGTGATTGCCCGTGGTATATCAGTTTCAAAGGAAAAATCGTATGTGAGTGGGCAAAAAGTGTCATTTATCGAGTCGTTTGAAACTGCATGTGATCATGTACAAATTTTCAACGTGAAATTTTGCCAAGCAAAGGTAAACCGTGACGCGGAATGTGGCGTGTGGACACGCCACACTCCAGAGAAAAGCACGTCTGAAATCCCTTCCCGTTCTATCATTTCGCGCGGCGATACTCACTCACGTACATGATTTTCCATATGTTTTTGCAGATAACACGATAAACCGCGCGCAATAACGTCTGTGTATGGCCAGCTATTTATTTGCTTTTCGGTTTTAGCGCTACCAACATGATAAAGAAATAAAAATATTTATCACGTTGTGATGCAAAGTTAACAAAAGTTAAGTGATATAATAATAGGTGGAAGATGATTGTATTTTGTTTTTAATTAAGTTGTTAGTTGTAACTTACAACTTGTAATTAAACAATAAATTAAAACAAACTTTGATTATATATTTTTCTTTCAAAGATGAATAAGTGATTAAACAACGCAAACTAGAAGAACCAGCGACAGCGACAGCAACGAGCAACACCAAATCCAAAATAAGTAAAAGTAACCATGACAAGCCAATCATGGTGGTTGAAGATGAAGAACAAAACGATACGCAGGTGGACATAGAGAACCAAGCAAATAATATAAATATTAAAAAAATACCTTCTTTGGATCAATTTATAATAAAAAAACAAGTAAATAAATATAATACTTATTATAATGTTGATTAATAATTATTTAATTAAAAATAAAAATCGCTAAAAAAATTGAAATTTTCATCGATGAAGTCATGATACTACAAAGTAGATCTGCTCCGTGTTGTCGGTTTTTGGTATGTCTGACGACGTTTCGGTACAATCTCATGTACCATCTTCAGGTCTTATCTGCTGGGCTGCTGCTCTGCTGCGAGTTAGACGTGGAGTGCAGCATATATATATATATATATATATATATATATATATAGATAAATATTGTAAAGATTTCTCCTTACACCAGGTTCGTTCAATGAACTATTTTGTGACTTCGGCTCGTGATCGTCTTACCAAAATTTGGACCTCTACGTTGTGTTTACTTACTAGTTTTATTAAATACATTGCTTTAAGAATCATACTTGGGAGAATTAGGTATACAAAAAAATAAAATACAGTGTTTAGTTTACACCAATTTAATTTACAAACAGTTTACAAAAAAAAAAGCAAGGGGTGGCTCTTAGCGAGATACGCTTGAGAAAAACCCCTGTTCGGCTATGAAGTAGCAAAGGATTACACGATTAGGGATTGTTTCTTTAAAAGTTTATGCAAATCAATGGAATGACATGACGTTACCCAAGCAACAATTTAAGTATTTGTTACCCCAGTAAGCACAAGCTAGCTGGCCCGCATACGGCCCGAATACGTTTTGCCGAATCGGCCGCGTGCGGCCCGACACACGTATTTCTTCCGGCGTGTAGAACGGCCATGTCAGCCTGGCCAACTGTCGGGCATATCCGCCTGGCCGAATGTCGGCTATGTTTACTCGGTCGAGTGTCGGCTGTGTATAGTTGGCCGAGTGCCGGCCACAACCGCCTGGCCATTCAAAAAAAGCCTACAGACGTCCTGGGGAGGTATATCCTATAAGTTCAGTCCTAAAATTCTCTGGCAAGATACTTTTTTAATACACTCGCTAGACATTATTCGTTACCGTAACCGTAAAATAACGCGGACCGTAAGCGGGCCGGCTGGGGCAAGCCGAACCGCCGGTCAACCGCCTATGCCGAGCGAAGGCCGACTGTTTGCCGAGTGTTTGGTGCTTACCTACTGGGTATGAGCTCTAAATATTAATAGTAAGATCGTAGGATCCTAGGAGAAGCTTCTCAGTGAAATTTTCCATTATTGATTATTCTATAAAATTGTTTGTTATCTCCCTAACAATTGTTAAATGAATATAAGCCCATTAGACATTTTGATAGGGAATTGAATGCTCTACAAAAAAGGTATCTTATGTTTTTTTTTCGTAAACCTAGCCATTCAAAAGATCACAATTGAAAATTTTTTATATTTTTTTTTAACTTTATTACTTGCAGAATAGTCAGGATTTTTAAATGAGTTGTAGGTACAGTAGGGGACACAAAATTCCGAACATAATTTGCTTGTCCTTGTGCGATTATGTAAGTAGCAAAGATATAATTAATAATGACCATTTTCGCTTTTGATGTCAAAATATGTATTGGGTTTAGCTTTATGTTCATTTATTAGTAACATACAAAATGTCGGACTGATGTGAAACTGAAAAATTGCAATGAAGGGAATCTTACTCAAAGAGCTCATACATAGATAGGCTTCTTTTGAGGTACCTACCCAGCAACCAATTTTTTGATACCAGAAGTTAAAATAATAATTTTCTTAATAAACTTATATCGAAAACAGTTGCATTTATATATTTTTTTAATGGTTTTCATACTACAAGCAGTGGCGTCACTACGGGGGTTATATCTCTTTTTAGAACAAAAAGGTATGCTTATGATCTAAAAAATACATTTTTAAATAAGCAGTTGATTTACAAAAAAAGTCCTTCTGAAGTTTTTTTGTAAAATGTAAAGTTTCACAGTAAAATTGCAATTCTAATTCACTGTAACTAAATTTTATCATAAAATGATATAATTATGCCGTCCAATTTTCTTTAAAAAAGTTGGTGGTGAACATTTTTAGCAACTCCTCTAATGATTTAAATTTAAGTGTGTGTACTAAAATAATTTTTTGTAGTTTTATTTTAAGGTTTCTGTTGTAAAATATTTTTAACCAGGTATAATTATTTATTTCAAAATAAATAATCTTAATTTGTTGCTAAAAATTACTAAGAATTAATTCATTAATTAAAATTGTACGTTTTCTTAATGTAAAAGAATGATTATTGGCCTTGTATTTTTAAAACCCACCCTGTATAATATACAGTATAACATAAACCCATAATAAAATAAATGTTGTTAATCAATTAAATATATTTATTATCCTTAAATAAAAAATAAATAAATATTCAAAATAAAATTTACATTTTCTGTCTTTACAAACATATACAAAAATATCAAAAGTTTTAAATTATATTACAAAATTAATCAACCCTGATAAGTCAGTTCAGAGCAACAATAATAATTTTATTTATGTAGGTACAAATATATACAATGTCAAATAAATTAAAATTATAGGCTGCCAATATCGTTAAAACGTTTTAATTTTTCCGGGAATGGATCCTTGAAGAGTACAGGATCTGCCCTGAATTCGACCGATTTTAAAGGCATTCTTCCAAATGCCTTTGTAAATCTATTAATGCATTGAGTTCTCTCCACCATATGCCCCAAGTCAGCTGATAGCATCTCGTTATTTATACATTCTGGACATTTAAACTTTTTCCTAGGTGTTACCTAAAAATTAAAATAATTAATTAGAGCAAAAATTTCACAGAGCATAGGCAATTTGTTTAGTTTTTAATTTTTAAGAGAAAAACACAATGGAAAGCAGCTCGGAAAACAGTTCTCCAAAGCGATTTTGTGATTTTTTTTACAACAGCTAATTTGTTTTTGGTAATTATTTTTGTAGAGTGGAGAGTAACTTTTCAAATCGCATTATGTCCACCATGAAAGAAGATTGACTTTGTGACTGTTTCTGCAATATGTGTCTATCTAGAAACCTGATAAAAAAGTTATACGCAATACGCCTGAACAGATCACCGATACGGGTGATAATCCAAATTTAATATCGTGCAGAATTCTAATTTGTAAATTTTGTTTCAGGTATTGGAAATACTATTAAAAACTTTATTCAGGTACAAATCAGTACGAAACCATTAAATCCGGTACAATCTTAGACACTTTTTCGGGACGACATCCCAAAAACTGGAACCTGTCCCAGCCAATGGAACGGTTGGGGTTTAATTATATCCTTCAAAATAATTTTTCTGATAGAACCAAAAACGTAATTATGTATATGCTCGATACGTGCGTAGCACGCGTTGCTACTTGGGTTACTTTAAAAATAAATTGAAGGAAAATATTTTCTTCCTGAACTTCATTTTCCACTCCAGGAATTTATAATGTATTTTTAAAAATATACTTATGCTTAAAACAAAAGCAAAATTGAGCACATTTTGTAAATTGCTGCCAATAGTGGTAAAGGGCTTAATGCTTTTTATTTGCGTGATGCAGACAAAATGCCTTTTGAGTTGAGTTTGCTACTTTTCTTAATTAAATTACACATAAATATACGTGATTTAATGTGTATCATATTTTTAATGTGTCCTTAACGGTACCTACCTTTTAAGCATAATAAAAGTAATAATTGTCACTTTTTAAAATTGATTTTCAAATATTCGTATTATATATATATATATATATATATATATATATATATATATTAGGGTGTCCCTTATTTTTATTTTTTTTACGCATACCCTCTAATTATATTTATTACGTGTTTATATACCCAGTAAAAATTCCAGCTCATTCTATAAACGGGAACCCGTGCCGACTTGCATCTGAACCCTCCGTTAGCCAACGTTAGGCGCGCGAAATTTTGTAACACGGTTGGTCGCGAGGTCTTCGATCGTAAGTCATTTTGTGTTTGTTATTATGTGACCCTTATATTATAAATTATTGACAAATGTTAAAATATAATTTTATTTATGTGTATACTTTGATAAAAATGTATATTTTCACAGGGAGTGGCTAGTTACTCGGAATAGGCCGTAAACTCTGAAATTGAACTTAATGGGTTTTACTCTAAATAACTAAAAGAGTCTATTGTGAGAGATGACTACCCAAAACTTATTGAACTGTCTGAAATATTTTTGGGAGGACATCAAGAAAAGAAATGCTTATAAAAAGCTGAAATTTCATATAACAGTATATTTTAGCAATATTAATTAGTATATTAATATATTTAAGGGATTAAATCAACTAAATTAGTGAAACAAATGATAAAAACAAAAGCAATAATATTAATTAGTAATCATATTTAATAAAATCATTAGGAAAATACAGTCATAAAGTATATTTTCTTTTTAAAGTGTTTCGTGTTACAAAATACCGCGCGCGCATCACGTTGGCTAACGGAGGGTTTAGATGCAAGTCGGCACGGGTTCCCGTTTATAGAATGAGCTGAAATTTTTACTGGGAGTATATAAACAAGTAATAAATATAATTAGAGGGTATGCGTAAAAAAAATAAAAATAATGGACACCCTAATATATATATATATATATATATATTATAATCTTAAAATGTAAAAGAATGTACTGTTTATACGTTATTGATTGCATAATTTTTGAAAATAAAAATCCCAGAGGCATTGATATCCATTGGACTGCTTATAACAATTTTTATAAGGGACATGAATACGTGATACAATACATATATCTCAATATCAATGGCGTAGCAATACCATTTTTAGCCCAGGGCAAATAATTTTACAAATTTCGTCACATGTATGAAAAGTTAGTATCAATTTAACGAAAATCGTATAGGTATAGTGGTATTAATATCTCATGGCGGGTGACCTTGGGCGCGCAAACGTCACAAATCCGTCAAATCGCTCTATTACTCGCCGTCCTAAAAACATACTACCCCAGGGTTGGCAATGCTAGCATCAGCTGATATTTATTGACATATCCACTTTCAGTTACTGAGCTCAGTGGTAAATACTACCCTTTTATAAATGTACGGCAGATTAATTTTACTGAAACAACTGGGGACAGAGAGGTGCTGTGGCTCCAGTAAAACACATAACCAAACTTTTAAACAAAAAATAGCTGTCAAATAAAGTGAAGGATATAAATTATATCATATAATGGTATTTGGTGAATACCTATAGGACTAATTATTTCAATATTTATTGATAAAATATTACTTGAAAGTACAAGCAGCAGTGACGAAGACAGGTCGGCGGGGAGTACAGTACGCATACGAAGACCCAGAATATGAAACTACCTACTATAGTACTAACTATAGGTAGTACCTAGAAAATGTTATATATTTGTTTTCAGCGGACGAATTTAAGAGTAATTTTTGGTATTTGGGTTATTGTTGTGGTGTCAGTGAAATTTTATATTTCCTATTCCTATAAACATTTTTCGACACGGACGACGATAACATTAAATTTTCCATATTTCTCTGCCATAAACCAAACATTATATTTCTTATAATAACTGTTATATTTATTTTTTATTTATGTTCTCTGCTGTGCCGAAAGTAAAGTTTGTCAATAAATCACAAATCATAACCTTGCGTAACCATTGTCACTTTCTGCTGCTACTGAGGCGCGTTCCAATTTCACTGTGCGTCAGTACTGAATAAATTACGGAACGGTCCTTTTCCGCTACTGACAGTAAAATTACTGACAGTAATGGCAGTTAATTACGGAACACAGCCTATATTAGTTGACAGATGACAGATTTGGGAAGCATCCATAGACATTTAAATTAACTTAAAGGTCTATGGAAGTGGCGGATGTTTTTAGTTTCCATTTATTTATTAAATTGAATGGCGTCTGTCAGCGGCTCTCAAGGTCACCCGCCATGAGATATTAATACCACTATATCTTTCTCTGTTGACTATCAATTTGATTGACGCTGGAATCCAGTGGCGGCTCGTGGGTGTACAGGAGGGTGAGGCTACATAAGGTTAATTTTGTCTAAATACGAATAAATTTCCACGTCACCCGGGAGGTATTATTCTGCGACGCGTTGACCTTTTTTAAAATGGAGCCGATAGCACTACTAAACCAAAAAATAAACTCTAAAAAACAAAACAAACAAAATATCACATCAAAGACTAGTTTTAATCCTAAACTTAAAAATATAGTCTTAAAAAAGTTAAAAATAAATAAATTAATCAAAAAATAAAAATAAAACTAAAAAGTCGACCCCTACCTAAGTATTAAAAAATATAAAATACTATACGTCTATCTTTTAAGATTGAAAATTTATCTATTATTTGGTCGTAAAATTGTGGGTCTGCAGTGAGATTTAAAAGTAATTCTAAATTTTCAAACCGCGTCTCTAATTGAAGAATTATGCAATCTATTATTTCAAAATATAAAATTTGCTTAATAAAAACTGCTAAATCTACCTTAGTGTGTTCCCTACAATAATTAAATATGAAATTTTACTAATCGAGACAAAAACTATAAAAGATCAGCCAAAAGTTTTATGAGTATGAGTATGAGTATGGGAACGTATGGCAGGCCCCAGATATATTATCCTCCACGATCTCCCGGGGATATTTTACCCCCTTTTCGTTCTCCTGCGTATCCCGCCAAATCACAGCATTACCTGTGTTTGTTGGATCCGAGGTTTTTACGCCGGCTGGTTGATCCGCCCTAGGAGGTTGTGGAAGACAATGTCAAAGGTTAAGGCCGCTCCCGGAATTTTTGTCAGCCGGGTCGGGCCATACGTCCAGTTTAGGAAGGGTTTTTGGGGGACATTGAACTGACCCAAAACTAAGTACAATCCGGAATCCCCCTTAACCAGGGCTTTAGTAATAACCCCATTCATTTGGTATTCTTGAATGGGGTAGAAGTGTTAGTACGCTGCTAGAACCTGTCCTTTTGGTGTATTTCTGTACGTCACTGTCCGAGTCAGTATCAGGTTCCTGGTAACCTCTTTAGAATTGTTTGCCCCCCTGTTTGTTACTCAGTCTTGTCTTTCGTATCGAAGCGTTGACGGCCCTGATACCCGTGGGTGTCCTTTCCCTTAATGGGTATTCCTCCTGCCAAGTATCGGCTACCCACCTTGTATATTCCTTATTTATTTTAAAATTATTAATTGTCAACCAGTATCTATATAGATCTTATATAAATATCAAAAGATCAGCCAAAAGTTTTAAATAATTTAATCTGAATCAAAACAATAACGTGCTCTACAAACGCTAAGAGAAGACTGGCAACCTTCTTTGTCTCCGCTGGCATCCCACCATAAACGGACCACCAATCAGAACAAACCAAGCTAACTAAATTTCGCCTCATCTACGGTGTTTATTCGCGAACTTACGGCGATATTTTTGTTGGTGAGTCATTTTCGCTTTCAAGAGGTAAATGGGAGCTTCCGAGGCTGTGAAAATTTCGCCTCTGTCTGGCGTCTCAACGATGCACGTTAACTTGACGCGCTTTGCGCCTGGATTTTTATTTACGCTTAATATGATTGATTGGTTTTTTACTTTTTATTGGGTAAAACTGTTGTAAAAATACACTTGTAATAGGCAAAAATATAAATACAAAAAGTCTTTCGTTCCTTCATTTTAAGGGTGAGGCGCGGCCTCAGAGGCCTACCCTGACGAGCCGCCACTGCTGGAATCATTCAAAAATGAAAATTCATTAGTCGGTATTTACGAATTTACGAACGAATAACGAAATTTTACAAAATCATAAAACA